TTTTTTCAATTTTTTTTTTTCAATTTTTCTTTTTCTGAGTAATTTTTAGGGCCTCTGAGGCCAACATGATCAGTATTTTGAAAAGTTATTTCTTTTTCAATACTACAAAATAAGGCGTAAACACTGTCATTATTTTGTTTATAGAAAATATTTACACAAACAAACGTTTATAAAAATTGTTTATTACTATTTTTCTATATTTTATATACACATATACAGTCACAGGGAATGTTTTTAGAAGTTCTGCAGCTGGGAACTCTTTGAAACATGATGTCATGCACAGTGGTGTTTTACACTCCTCACACATAAACGAGTGTCTCTGCGTTTTTGTGGGCTTTTTTTGTATGTGAACGATGTAACACCTCTTCTGAGCCTTTTTTTTGAAAGCGGTAGCAGGCACTTTTACCAGGAAGTGATCACCATGCTTCAGCGAGCAGGTAGTTGTTGATAATTTGGTGGGCGGTCATTGCAGGTGCTGTTCCTTGGTACTTGAATACTATTTGTCTGATGACAGACAAACAGAATTCGCCGTACTGGGGTTTTGTTTCTGGTCCTCATCTTATACTATTAAAAGAAATTGAGCCTGGAAATGTCCAGAGATGGAAAAAGAGTTTTAGTACCACTTTAAAACTCTTGCGAACAAAATCAGCAAACCCAATCTGCATGTCACATTTGTCCACTGAACGCATGTTGAAGGTGTAATCAATCACAGCTGCAGGTTTTAGAATGAGTTCATTGCTCTCTTTTATGCTGCCTGCCACTGTCTGCCATTTCATTAGGGTGAACTGATGAAAACAGTGTGACATCTCGTTTGTCATGCCACCAAAAATGCCACGATGTCATTGGCAGCAAACGCCTGCACCTCACCTCTACGAGTGCCAGCGTCAAACCTGGGCATATGTTTCCGATTTGCCCCGCACTGTGCCACACACATCTGTCATGTTCACTCGCAAAAAATCACTAAGTGAGGGGCTTGTGTACCAGTTTTTCTTATTATATATGCCCCTTCCCAAAGGGTATGGTTCTATCATTGTTCTAACCACATCACCTGAGATGCCCAATAACTTCCTGGTATTTTGCAATGTATAACTTCCAGTGTACACAGTAATACCCAAAATACCAGAACCACTGAAAACAATAAACAAAGCACAAACAACTTTATACCAAAGCGTTTCCTCTTGCTTGGTATGTACTGCTTGAAAGAAAAGTCTTCCTTTGAACAGAATCAAAGACTCGTCAATTACAAGCTTTTCCCGAAGGGATAAAAATGCGTACTGAAATTTTTCTTTCAGATACACAAACACATTCCTAATCTTATATAACCTGTCGTTTCTGTCAGGCTGGTTTTGTTCTGAGAAGTGAAGCTTTTGTAACATTAGCACAAATCGATTCACTGGCATTATATCACTGAAACCTGTGGTTGCAATCATGCGGTCTGTTGACCAGTATGATTTCACTTTGTGCCTATACACATGTGGCATAAGCATTATTGTGGCAAGAAAAGATACATCTCAGCCACAGTTGCCTCCTTCCACTGGTGTAGACGTGATTTTTGTGAAAGTAATGTTTTGCCATGGTGTACTCGTAGTATGTGTTTCATTTCCATGACAATACTTTCCATCAGTGGTTCGTCAAAGAATAACTCGAAAACATTCCAGTTCAGTGGCATTGTTCCCAAGTGTACAAGATGGCCGTATTCCACTTTGGCTGTCATCAAACTGGTGGGCATTTGGAACAAAAATTTAAGCTTCCTGCCAATCCCCGGTGCGGTCTGCTGGTGGGTACTGGACAATGACAGGTGGTTGTTGGTTGTGGAGGCTGGTGTGGTGGGTGGGTGGGGGATGGTGGCCTTTGTTGTATGTAGATCAGCTGAGGCAGCGGCGTGGGTGGCAGCGTGGGGCAGCATGGCCCACTGCTGGTTCTCACCGCCGGCACCACTAAACCCCCACACACATTTTCCATCCAATTGCAACAGTATCATCGTCATTTTCACTCTTGTTCCTGTTGTACAGCCACGGGATGTACTCGAGATGCACTCCTTCCCCCTTTGGGTTGCATATGGCACACTACCAGAGCGCATATATCGTCGTATATACTGACCGCTTCACTGGGGAATATTGCACTTCACTATCACTACTGGAACTAGTTTGAAGAGCTTGTAGTTCATATTCAATATCACTATCATCCCCATGCTCTCATCTGAGTCTGGGATTTGGGAAAATAGAAGTTTTCCCCTTGGATTCTGGTACAACTGAACGGGAACAAGAGGCCCAGCACCAGGGGGTGGAAGGTGAGGGTCGTCTGGGTTTTCCTCACTTTTTACCAATATTATGGTCATTAGTTTCGGTCAAAACCTCACCAAAACCCTTTAAACTATCTTCACTGGCACTTCCATCTGTATTAGAAAATGTCACTGGGGAACAAAAAATGTCCCCAAATTTGCCGAGGAGTGAGGAGCTTCTTACTGCGAGGGATGTTGGATATTGTTTACTAAGATGGCGTTCCCACAATGCACCACTGGGTCCCAAATTTTTTTTCTACCACGCACACGACCACACAGACCCATTTTTCACATGTAGGCCTACCAGCCTTTTCCCGCGAGATTTGACGGCGCTAGAATTTCTGCGTACTAGTACGTCAAAAAACCTGCGCGTAAGACGTACTAGTACGTCCCAAACCCTAAAGGGTTAAGAGGCAATTTTAGCATATACAGTTTCTGTATCTAAGTCAATGGTTTTAATTAAAGTGATGAGGTTGCAGTTTACTCAGCTGGAGGTAAAAGATAATTCACTGTTAATAAACATATATTATTATTTATTTTTTTTTCAACAAGTCTGCCGTCTCCCACCGAGGCAGGGTGACCCAAAAAAGAAAGAAAATCCCCAAAAGAAAATACTTTCATCATCATTCAACACTTTCACACAAATCACACATTATCATGTTTTTGCAGAGGTGCTCAGAATACAACAGTTTGAAGCTATACGTATAAAGATACACAACATATCCCCCCAAAAATGCCATATCCCAAACCCCTCCTTTTAAAAAGCAGGCATTGTTTTTCCCATTTCAGGACTCAAGTCCGACATTATGAAAATAAACCGGTTTCCCTGAGTCACTTCACTAAATATTACCTGCTCACACTCCCAAAAGATTGTCAGGTCCCAAGTATCATTCGTCTCCATTCACTCCTATCCCAACACGCTAAAGCACGCTTGCTGGAAGTCCAAGCCCTCGCCACAAAACCTCCTTTACCCCCTCTCTCCAACCTTTCGAGACGACCCCCACCCCTCCTTCCCTTCCCCTATAGATTTATATGCTTTCCATGTCATTCTACTTTGATCCATTCTCTCTAAATGACCAAAACACCTCAACAACCCCTCTTCTGCCCTCTGACTAATACTTTTATTAACTCCACACCTTCTCCTATTTCCACACTCCGAAATTTTCTGCATAATATTTACACCACACATTGCCCTTAAACAGGACATCTCCACTGCTCCAACCGTCTCCTCGCTGCTGCATTTACCACCCAAGCTTCACACCCATATAAGAGTGTTGGTACTACTATACTTTCATACATTCCTTCTTTGCCTCCATAGATAACGTTTTTTGACTCCACATATACTCAACGCACCACTCACCTTTTTTCCCTCATCAATTCTATGATTAACCTCATCCTTCATAGATCCATCCGCCGACACGTCAACTCCCAAGTATCTGAAAACATTCACTTCTTCCATACTCCTCTTCCCAATTTGATACCAATTTTTCTTTATCTAAATCATTTGATACCCTCATCACCTTACTCTTTTCTATGTTCACTTTCAGCTTTCTACCTTTACACACATTCCCAAACTCATCCACTAACCTTTGCAATTTTTCTTTAGAATCTCCCATAAGCACAGTATCATCAGCAAAAAGTAACTGTGTCAAATTTTTTATATTATTATTAATTCTTATATATATCTTATATATTATTAATTCATAGAAAATTTCAAGCTAAATAAACATGAATATTGCATCAAGTTCAAGAGATGTTTCTGGACATTTTTGAAGATATTAGGAAATAATTTTTGTTTTGTTCTTGACATAGCTTCCAAATTTTGAGTCCTTTGATTTCCATGGAGTGTTTACTGAGGTCAGTCAATAGTTACATATGTGGCATACCAGAGAGAGAGATATTTCTAGTGTTATGTTTATGTTATCTGTTGCAACTCTCAAGGAATTGTTGTAGCTCAGAGTTAATATTTGTGTATATTTTATGTGTACTGTTGTTTGTGTGGATACTTCGTACAATTTATCCTGTAGATACAAATATCTGAATAGTGAAAGGGTTGTGTTTTCTGAAACCAGATTGAGTGATTGCTCTGATAGCAGAGTTTTTTGTTATATTATGATAGGTTTTAGATGATTTGTTGTTGTAGCTACCCATGCACATTCCCAGAGTAAGTAGTGCTGGTTGTTGTATATAGCTGTGTATTCTTGAAAGAATGCCTACTGTTTTGGAAACTTTCTTAGATATGTGTTAGTTATGTAGTATTTATCAGATTTAGGTTTGCTGTCAAAGTGAATAACCAAAACTTCCCCTCCTTTCATCATTCGGTGTGTCTATTGTATTGTTTACCTTTGTTTAATTGAACACTTTTAGTTTTATTCCCATATTAGGTTTTATTAATATTGAGTGTTAATTGTTGCACTCCAAAGCTGGATTTGGATTGGAAAAACAAAAGGTAGTGTAGTTTGCAAGAAATCTAGTTGAGGATGTTGAGATGTACTTGGTAGGTCATTGATTTTTTTTTTTTTTAACACATTGGCCATCTCTGACCAAGGTAGGGTTGACCTAAAGGAGAAATAAATGTGGTCCTTGGCTGCTGCATTTCAGAATTCCTATGTTGGGTTGAGTAGATGATGCTGGTGTGTAATGGTGGTGATAGTGTGCAGTGTTGGTGGTGGTAGTGTGATGTGATGTGCAGGTGTGGGATTGTCAGTAACACACCCATCTCAAGTGGATGTGCACACAGGCAGCAGGTGGTGGAAGCCATGGTGATGCAGGAGGCCATGACAAAAGTGATGCAGGCAGCTGTGGTGATGGAGGTGAAGAAGTTCCAAGCGGGGAAGTGGTGACGGCACATCGCGAAGCTATCTTGGCTCGCAGGGCACTCCTTGAGAGGGATACCCAAGCCAGAATAACCAAGCTCAGGGTCACTACCCTGGAGAGGTCACTCCATCACCGCCAGCATGAGGTATGTCACGTATCACATGGGAGCCCATCACGGCTCATTGTTCACCTTATCTCTTGGGTGTTTGCCCACATTTTGTATTGCTTCTAAACCAAATACCTGCCAAGTGATGTGACAAGCAGACTCCCACACTGTGTACAAGCCCATCACCTCATAACACCTTTGGTAGTATTTGTGTTGAATCTGCTGCCACCACCTGCTCTGATAGTAAGAGAATTAAAGTATGAGAAAGATTGAGAAGGTAGAATTAAATCAAATCAAAGTTTATTCTCTATAAGGATTACAATGCGGGGTTACAGATTTTGGTTATTGTGTGGTTTATATGTAATGAAATACTAATTACAGAAGGGGCCACTAGAACACCTAGCATGGCTAGGCATTTCGGGCAAACTTAGATTAATCCTTAACCCTAAATTATTACAAATTGTGGAGTAAATTGACTAAATACTAAGTGACTAAATACTAGTTTGTGAGTTTAGCAATGTGAATGCTTTTGTTTTGGCACAATACATAGTTTCTATATTGGAGTATCACAGGCAAACTTATGACTAGTTAGGAATCATTATTTTAAGATTAAGATACGTATTTCTGTGCTTATGTCAAATGGTGTGAGTGAGTGAGTGTAAGTGTGAACCACCAGGTGGTTTTTATGTAGTTTAGTTGACGGGGTGTATCAGGGAGATAAGATGTTTTCTAACGGTAGTTTTGAAGGTGATGAATGTGTCTGCAGTTCTAGAGCTTTTAGGTAGGGTGTTCCAGATTTTAGGGCCTTTGACATGCATTGAATTTTTGTAAAGGTTTAGTCGGACACGGAGAATGTTGTAGAGATGTTTGTGTCTGGTGTTATGCCTGTGGGTCCTGTCACAACTATCAAGAAAGCATTTTAGGTCAAGGTAATATTGGAATTTAAGGTCCTGTATATGTAGATTGCACAGTAGTAAGTGTGGATGTTTCTGAACTGGGAGTAAGTTTAGATCTATGAAGAGTGAGGGAGTGTGTTGCCAGGGATGGGATTTAGTGATTATTCTTACTGTGGCTTTTTGTTGAGTTATTATTGGCTTTAGGTGTGTTGCTGCAGTTGATCCCCAAGCACAAATAGCATAGGTGAGGTATGGATAAATGAGTGAATGGTATAGTGTGAGTAGGGCATTTTGCGGCACATAGTATCGTATCTTGGAGAGGATCCCAACTGTTTTGGATACTTTTTTTGTTATGTGTTGGATATGGGTGCTGAAATTCAGGTTGTTGTCGAGGTATATGGCCTAGGAATTTGCGCTCATTATGTCTGGCAATTAGAGATTGGCATCAGAAACAGGAAAGCTCTTCAGTTAACAGAAGAAAGGTAATCACAATAGCACTAATCAGGAGATTGTGAAAGTAGTGATGCTTCTGGCTCTCAGGATATGTGACCTAAGGAGCAAGCAGTACATGGTCTATCTAAATCTCGATTCTCTGTGGTGGGTTAGGACTTTTAGCCTGCTCTTCTATACATCTCAAGAGGGAAAATTATAATTCTGTAAAGAATAGAGAGTATTTAATGCAATGGGTACATGTCCCAAAGTAACCTGAAACAATCCTACTACATGACTTAATATCTTAAGAAACTTGAGAGACTTTCATAAATTACACACAAATGGTAATCCAGTTTCAATTTTGTAGAGTTTATAGGATATTTAACTGACAAGGCATTTCCTTAGTGTTTGTACTGCTGATTTTGCAACTAGCAGGCTGGACCATAACAGAAGTAAACACTATGTTGTGCATAGATCTGTGGTCATCATGAAGTCACTAGTGTGTTAGGTCGACCTCTTGTCATCACCCTGGTCTTCACCTGCCATCCCAAAAAATTAATGGCAGCATGGAAAATAGGGAAAGTTAACCCTTCGAGGGTTTTGGCCCAAAACCAGTAAAGGCTTACGACCCAGGGTTTTTTACGTACAAGTAAAGCCTAAATTCTAGCGCCCTCAAATCTAGTGGGGGAAAGCTGGTAGGGCTACATATGAAAGAAAGGGTCTATGTGGCCAGTGTGAATGGTATAAAAAAAAATCCTGCGCAAAAACTGCATAATGAGAAAAAAAAAAACTGACCGTTCTTTTTTTAATAAAAACAGCGACTTTGCACTGTATTTTTTGTATGGTATTTATTGTTGTATTCTAGTTTTTTTGGTCTCATTTTATATGAATGAAAGACATATTACAGAAATTGAGATGATTTTGACTGCTTTTACAATGAAAAGTACCTTGAAATTGAGCTCAAAGTAGCAGAAATGTTCGATTTTTTTTCCAAAGTTCAAAAGTAAACAAAACATGCCAAGCTCAATACACGTCAACTGGTGGGTCTTAAAATTCTTTTGCAAGTGCGCCAATTTATTTTACCCTTTTTTACACTAATACAGTAGTCTGCATAACAGTAAATCTTCTATTTTTTGTGAGGAAATAAAAATTCAAAGTGGAAAGCAAAAGAATGTAAGAGGGGCGTGGGGACGTTGACTAATGAGCAGAGGAAATGTCATTTTAGTGCCCGGAATGTCTTTCTTGTTTATTCTGGACCCTATTGGAAATTGGCATCTTTTGAAATTTTTTGTGAAATTGGCAAAATTGCTAAATTCTGACCATGTACTGGATAGTTGAAATTGGTAAATGGGTGGTTTCTTGCACTCATTCGATAGAAAAAATTGAGTTCTAGCGAAATATTCATGTTTTTTTTAATGGTACAGTGGAATTGGCCAAAAATGGGGCTCAAAAATGGGCAAATTGCCGAAGCGTAATATTGCCAAGACCGCTAACTTCGAGAGAGCATAATTCTGTAGGTTTTCCATCAAATTTCATACTTTTGGTGTCATTTGATCAGGAAAAGATTCTCTAACTTTTCATTAAAATTTTTTTTTTTTTTTTTTTAATTTGGCCGACCCTGAGAACGAGTCTCGGAGAGGGCCCGTCGACCCTCAAAGGGGTTTAAGAGTCCATTGAGTGTGTGTATTTCTCTCTGTGTATGACAAAAAAAAAAAAGCCATTTTTTAAAGGGGTTGACTGGTAAGCCAGTGGAAGGCCTTGGTCAGATGACCAAAGCTCCCGTGGCGGGTCTTCATATGGCTAAGACCCCTTCAGGAAACAGTTGTCCTATTTCCGGATAAATCTTAACCTAACCTAACCTGTGGCTACTTGCACTGAACCCAAACACAAGCAAGGATAGGTCTGATAACCGAGTAGAAGTGACTTGTAGTTCCTGATGTCACTCACCATAACTACCTGCTCCATGTCTTAATGTTTGGCATACATTGTATAAATGTATACAAAATAGTCACACCCTGTTTTACGTCATTTTGGCTTACGTCAAATTTGCCTTTACGCCACTTTCCTAGGGTAAGTTTCAGTTTAGCAAGTGTCATTGTGCCTGACATCACTCAGCAATGTCCACCTACGTCATAATTTTTTTTAATTTGTTCATTATTCTTAAAAAAAAATGTCTAAAATGTGCTTTTCGTTGTTTAAGGTTATTTACACTAGTTTTATTTTTGCTAGTTTTACGGTGTTTGTCATCATCTTAAGGCATTATGTCCAGTTTACATCAGAAACCAGGTTATGTCACAGTTCTTGGAATCAATTAATGATGTAGAGTGGGGTATGACTCTGCATACATGTATATAATTTTAAGAATTAAAAAAAAAAGTATAAACATTTTTCTGTACACATTAATATGACCCAATACAATATTAATTAATTTATATAATTACCCAGACTTGAGTCCTGGAAAATGGGAAGTACAATGCCTGCACTCTAAGGAGGGGTTCGGGATATTAGCAGTTTGGAGGGATATGTTATGTACAGTATCTTTATAGGTATATGCTTCTAAACTGTTGTGTTCTGAGCACCTCTGCAAAGACAGTGATTATGTGCGAGTGAGGTGAAAGTGTTGAATGATGATGAAAGTATTTTCTTTTTGGGGGTTTTCTTTCTTTTTTGGGTCACCCTGCCTCGTGGGAGACAGCCAACTTGTTAAAAAAAAAAAAAATTACCCTGTTTTATCTTTCAGCAAAAGACATTGCACATGAGTATAAAGACTAAATTTCCACATGAAAATATAACATACCTACACAAGGGGTGAATAAGGGCCAGTTTGCCTTTTTACAGCTGTACAGGTCTGCCATCACTAACCCGGCATCATTGGGACCTGTAGGGTGCCAGATTAGTGAGTTTGCCAGATTACAGAGAGGTTAGGTTAGAATACACTTAATTAACCTATCAATAGAGACTGCTACATCTTCCTCACTTTCATCACTGCTTTCTCCTCCACTGGCTTGCTGCTGTGGATTTACAACCATCTGCACAATTTCTGAGTCAGTATAATGATGGAATTTGAGCCAGTATAATGATTTGAGTCAGTATAATAATGAAATTTGAATTATGCTAGCCAAAATTAGTGCCAGATTACTTCTAGAATCGGATAACTGATTGCCGGATTAGTGATGACTGACCTGTACCATATTTTACTCTTAAAAAAATTTTTTTTTTGTTTTGTTTTAACCCTTTGAGGGTCCGTCCCATAGATCTACGGCTTTACGTTCAGGTCCAAACCGTAGCTCTACGCCATGAGCTCAGCTCACTCTGATAAACTGTGAGTGGTAAATTTGGGCCTAGATATGAGAGAATACATCTATATGGTATGTGTGCACCACATAAAACAAATCCTGCAGCACACTGTGTGTAATGAGAGAAAAAAACTGAGACCGTTATTTTTTATTAAAACAGAGACTTTGCAGTGCTTTTTCCTATGTTTTTTATAGTTGTATTTGTGATTTCTTGGTCTCATTTGATAGAAATAGAGATGATTTTGATTGGTTTTAGCACTGGAAATGGCGTGAAACCGAGCTCAAAGTGGCGAAATGTTAATTTTTTGCCAATGTTCAAGACTAAACAAACGACCTCACACGTCTAATACATGCCAGCGGTGGGTCTAATATACATTCACAAATGTGGTGATGATATTTTATACAATTATTACAA